ACATACCGCCTACGTGACAGTTAATCAAAACAACGGACCAGGGTTTCAGATGTCTTCAACTATTACAACATGCAGTTTCTGAATTTGAACAATTATTGCTATTATGTCAAAGCGATGACACTCAGATGGAGATTACTGTATTCGCCTCTTGCGAATGATCGCCGAGGATACCAAACAATTATCAGTCAATGCACACAACAGCAAAGAAAAATCAGTATACATTTGCCCATCATGACGACATGCTGAAAGTAGTTTATTGGTATGCAAGTTAGCTAATTAACATATTCAGAATAAATCCAAATTAGTACAAAACAGTTTGCAAGTGCCAAGTGTTATCTCATGTGAGACAAGTCTCTGTCAATGACAGTTTAGTTAGTGTGTCAATTATACACTATGGGAGTATTTAAAACCATAGTTGCTGTCGACATAGGAAGTAAAGTAAAGTAAAGTATTTTTCTGAGATTCAGTAAATCATTTCATCGAGATTCAGAAAATCATTTCACTGAGAGTATGTGTCAAGATATGCAGTATGTGTCAAGGATTCGAATATGTTAAAACAAAACAGTAACCCATAATGTACGATGTTCTTATCCAGTTTAAAAGTAATCGCCTGAGTAACAATTGCCTGAGCAATTGCCTGAGTATGGAAGTATTTAGCATGTTAAAAATTTGGTGTTAATACATGGCACATTCGCCACGTTTTCTTCAGTCTGAATAGTATTTAGGAATAGAATCGTTCTCATATCTTACAGAATTGTATAACCCACACATAAATAGATAGGTTATTTTGAATCAAATAACAAAACAAAAAAATCTTGTGTTTTGTTCATACCAAAAGCAGTTAAAGCTTATCCTAATATGGGCAAGGACACCTAAGTCGACCAGTTTGAATCAAATCACAAAACAAAACAGTAACCCATAATGTACGATGTTCTTATCCAGTTTAAAAGCAATTGCCTGAGTAACAGCGTGTGACATTTTTGTGTGTGTTTTAGGGAAAGAAAATAACCACCAAACTGTCAAAAATCATAAAAAAACAAAAAAAGCAAACAAAATCGGTCAAAACATGTCCAAAAATGGGAAGTCTACACAAGGAAATAGGAGCAACATGGTCGCCAGTTGGTCATTTGATTGAGTAACCCACCATGAGTGACGTCAATGCCAAGTTTGATTATTGATCCACGTATACCTGAGAAACTGATGGTAATTGATAAGGGTCATCAAACATTTTTTGTTTATTTGCTTTCTTTATGGCGTATTTTATGTCAAAATATTTGTTTTTTGCACATACCTTTGGAGTATCATTCAGATTTTACTGTGCTTGTGAGTATTGGTAATTCGTTGTGAATGACAAAATTGAAATGACAATTAAATTGTGATATTTTAAATATTGCAATAATTTATAAATAATATTTTTGATATTTGAGCTGTTATATTGTTGAGAGAATATGATTTCAGCTTTCGAACGATCTGTTTGAAGGTGTTCGTGGCTGACTCGGAATGTCAGCGTTCATCGTAATTTACGTTAGATTTCTATTCGTCGCCGCGCACGAGTACGCGCCGAAATCATTGCTTACAAATGGCGTTAGAAACGCATCGAAACGAATAAAACGATATTACGAGTTTTGTTCTTTGGTAGATAAAACGTTGAACGTTCAATATTTATATGTGGTACATCCCCGGAGATACATCGCGGTTATTGGGTATGTGTATGCGTCAATTTATTCCCGGGATTTATTCACGTCTACTTGATAAATACGTCGGTGCGATAAATCAATGATTGAAGTACATTTGTAATAATCTGTAATAAAAGTGTTTATGTAAGAATAGTATATCATTTGTATACCTACCTCGAGTTATCCTTACTCAACATTCACAAGATTTGACATGGGGATATCTCAGTTTTGTCGGTTTGTTTTGTCAGCAATCTGCAGTATGTGTCAAGGATTCGAATCATCCCGGCACTGCGTGTCCCGATAATTAGCATAAATTTACATATGACGCGAACGCCTGGGTACCACGGTAAACTCCAGTACGGGACGTCTGTTACTGAATCCACGTGCGTACAGTAACGAGCAATGATGTTGTATAAAGTACTACATCGTGTACTTGGTGTTGGCGGACTGTGGGGATGTTTATTTTTTTCCAACTGCAGTTGCGATGCTCTAAATTGAATCACAGTCACTCTACTAGTAGAGTGACTGTGATTGAATTTAGGACGACTCGCTTGAAAAACGATCACCCCTTTGACTCCAAGTTGCTGAATAATGAACTTTTTAACTTTGGTTTGGCATATTTTCCAATAATATAAATGTAGATAGTATTGGTTATTTGCGTCGCTATCGAACGAGACGCATATTTTAAATTGACTTCACTTACATGCATGATTTATTTCACTGAGATCCAGTAACTAGTAGATTTTTCTGAGATTCAGTAAATCATTTCATCGAGATTCAGAAAATCATTTCACTGAGATTCAGTAATGGATTTATCTGAGATTCAGCAACTGATTTCACAGAGATTAAGTAGTAGATTGCACATGACGTGGCAAAGGCCTGTCAATTGATTTAATTTGTCATTTTTTTGCCAGCCGAACATGGGAGGGGCTGGTGCGCCTCCCCCAAATCCGCGCATGCCCAGCAATCAATTTCATTGAGATTCAGTTTATGAGATTAGGTAATTGATTTCAAGTTCGGCCCTCGAGTTTTTAATTTTGTGCATGTTTTTCTTGGATAGTTACCTGTTCTCACCACGAAAGGTGAATACGTCAATCAATCTATCAAAAATACAATGTATTTATATAGCGCCAGTACATGTTACACTCAAAGTCGCTGTAGCTTTTGAAAATAAATGTGTCCTAATGATGATGTCTAACTTCCAGTGGTAGATAGTTTGGCGCAGCAAGAGAAAATGGGCGACTGCCATACGATATAAATAATACGCGCAACAGAACCCGAACAACTAACTGTATCTAATCGTGGTCACGCATTCATCGTGTACACTACAGCACTCCGAAAACTGAATCCCATTCATTTATTGTATTACGCTTGCATTATGTTAATCCGTAAAATCAAGTAATTCATATTTCCTGATTATGGTTTAATTATTGTGCCGAAAATGGTAAACATGGTAAAAGTTGTTTATTTTATTTCTGCAAAAGATCGTAAGGCCGAACAAAGTCAATAGGACGAAAGTGTCTTGGGACGAATATGAATTGACCTGAAATGGGACGAATATGATTTGGGACCAATCGACTTGTGGGACGAATGTGAATTGGGACGAGTTGACTGTAAATCATTTGATTATCCTTGGTGGTTCTTATAGTACTAGTAATTAAAAGCTTTTTGTCGGCAGATTTAAGAGCGCGACTAGGTGTATATGTCTGAATGCGATTACAGATTTAGTCATAGACCTTAAAAATACAGGTCTTACGCTGTAAAATGTTGATGATAATTTCTGGACGCAACCAATTTGCATCTGTATTACAGTATGTTCCGGTATCTCAGTATGATCTGGATAGCATTGAGACGCAATGCAATTTGCTAAAATATACAAAAATTACATAAGTGGTTTCCATGAGACGGGTCCGTATCCTTAACGAAATTGGGGAATAAAACAACACGGGAATGCGTGCGAATTTGGCGCCAACAAATGTGCGCAAGCGCACAGTACCACCTCTACTCAACATGGCGGCGCAGCAAGTGACGGATCCAGTTAGTCGATCGCTAAAAGGGGTACTGTTGGAGAGCTTACAGGCGATTCTTTCACCGGATCAAAGAATCAGAATAGAAGGGGAGGATCAGATAAAACTGTTGGAAGTAACTGAAGGTAGGTATCTTGCATTATGCTGCGAACATTCCCAAACCAAGACAGACAGACACGAGAGACCCATGACATGTGTGCAGTCGTGGATGGACGGACGAAGTCAAGAACATACAAATGATTTATTGGTCGTGGGACTTATTGTAGTAAAACTCGACCGGCATCAAATGTGGCGGCGTTTGTTCCGTCGGTGAGATCAGTTTATAGGAGTCGTGGTAATACGCGCATTTATCTTGCACGCTAAGTTATATGCGGAATGGCCTTCTCCATAATCTACAGCGTAAACCTCAGACCACTTTTGTAAACACATGATGCAATTGTTAATCGGTCCCCGACCCCGTCGAGTATGGTATGTCCCTTAATGTACCGTGTCTAGGAGTTGGCCTCGGTGAGCGGCACTCGCAGTGCAATATTGAATTAAAAAAGAATCTATCTCAGTATTTGGACCAAATACAATTTCACAAGCTCATGTATAAGTAATCCCAAATTTGGAATTGTTTAGGAAAATTAAAAACCCTTGGAAATAAATCGTACATTTTACTAGTTTAGGTGATTTTCTGTACAAACGGTGAAAAATGCTTTAACACAAATTACCATTTTTGACTAAATTTGTTGAAAACAGTGAACCTGTGTCACAGCGAAGCCTGTTCTGTTAATGCTGGATTGAAGGGAAAATCACCACTAATGATAATTAGTTAAGGTGTGTAGTGGAATACACCCTAAATATCACACCGCAGTGTCGATATTAAATATATCAAAAAATGAATATTCATTAATTTTAACACATATGATATATCAAATTCAAATATGATATTCCAAAAAAACTTTCTGATATGAATATTAATTTCATGGTAATTTACGACAGCATGAATCTTCATTATCCTTAATAATATAAAATATATTGCATATACCTGTATCAAATGCTTTTATAGGGAACAAGTCTGGGATAAGAATATTCATGCAATGCATTACCATGAAATTAATATTCATGTCCATGACGGTAATACTCATATCAGATATATCAAAATGTTTTTCCAGAGAACCAAAGTCCTAGCGGGATAGGAACACCAGAATTTTATTTCACGGATATGCATTGCATGAAAATTGGGACGAGACGAAAAAAATAAATACTTTTTTTACACTAATCCTACCTACCCATATTTTGGGTGAAATTTTTACTTTATGTAAATTAGTCAATTGTCACTTAATATGCATGCAAATTATCCATGTTTACCCACAAAAAAGACTTTGTTCATTTCTGTCCTTTGAGGTAGTGGATGACCAGAACATACATGTAACTATATGGAAATCAACTAAATGGAATTAGTGGTTGTACTGTCTTTAATGCATGGATTAGTTTATTAATTCCTGAATTCCTTCAAAATTACCATTACCACAAAATACCATCATAGATTAGTTTCAGCAATTGTACAGATAAGATTACAGACTTTAACCTTGATAATGTGAACATAGCAAAATAGGTGTTTAATCTGACATAACAGATATCAGCCACATGCATATTCCCTGAAGTAAAATCCCTTAAAAATATACACAGCAAACAAATAACACAATCACATATGTTTTGAGAAAACAATGCATTTTATTTTAACCTAACCTGAGTAAACTTCCCATTTGATATATGACAAATTGTAAAGTAATTATCAACATATCAGAGATACAGAATATTGTACCGTACTCGATCGTGTTAGTGCCCATGCCCGGTCAAGCGCCCACCCCCCACTTTTGCGCAATTTTTATATTCGGGGTCACATTCGGCAAAGCGCCCACCCCTTTAAAATGCCACTAATTTAAAACTTGGTCATTGATCATTTCTCAACGGATACTGGTAATCGTTTTTATATGATACAGCGTGAATATCGACCGCCGTGAATATGTTGTGATTGCGTAGACCACGGTAACCGTGCGTAAACTACGCTTTGACAATGACTTGTTAATAAAAGTAAAATGCGGTAAATATTTCATGCTGTATTCAGTTTACTGATAAAAATTGCTAGTTACCATTTAAAAAAAAACATGTCGTTTATTTGCCAAAATCAATTCAAACAGATCGTACTTCGACATCGATAATTCACTTTCACATTGCGTTACCCAAGAGTATTCGGTAATTTCCGAAGAATTGTCTCGGTACCACACAGCATTTTGATTGGATAACACATTTGACTGCAGGTCAAAAGCAAATACATCGTGGCGGAAAGAGCTTTTTATCGAGAGTTTGCGTACTATCCAACACATTTGTCAGTGGCGATATTGATGAAGATTTTGACTTTGACTGTGTTCCAACAGACTCAAATATTTTTAAGCTCGTAAATTCGGGTGGTACGTAATTAATATTGTAATAAAATGTGCATATTTGACCATTTCTGTTTCTTCATTGTAAGAATCAATGACAACGCACCTAATTTTGTAATTTTATTTTCCCTCAAACTTTCAAATACGTAATATCCCCGCAATCTGTCACACGGTGAATTAAAATTGTCAGTTGCACTCTTTTCTGAGGGGGGTGCTTGGGTAAGCGCACACCCCTAAAAAAGCCGATTTTATGAGTTCAGAACCATGGGCGCTAACACGGTCGAGTACGGTAAAACTCATCTTTTTAGCTGGCATCATATGTTGGCTAATTTAGCTAATCTGCAATTTCACTAATTTAACATGTAGCTACAGGAGGGGGGGGGGTAATTTAAAATAAAGTATATTATTACAATGAGATTTTGGCACTTGAGCTAAATAATTAGGATTCTGTTAATTCAAATTTGTTAAAATATTATATACCGTATTACCCCGGGCACGCGCCCCTCCCTGGGCAAGCGCCCACCCCCCTGTTTTCACAAAAGTTACATGTTGGGGACATCCTCGGTTAAACGCCCAGGGTGATTTTTAGCCAAGAATTAGGTCAACAATAAAGTTGTATTTGTCAAAAACGAACGCGTTTGATTTATTTAAATAGTGTGTTCGTTACGGTAGTTCTCTTTTTGGAGTGTGTGGTGGCCCTGAAAAGGGCCGTTTTGTTTGTGTTTTTACGTAAAAACTCATTGGAAGAGCATTGCCAGGCGATGGACGCGGGGCTCTTTGGCAACGACCAAAAACGTATCCGTGTCCAGCCATTGGTTGGCCACGTAGAGGTCAAAATACGCGTTCTATTTTTACGCGTTAAGTTTGGCTCTTCCGTTTCACCCCCTCCGGAATGTTCTACTTTCGCAGCCTAATCGCAGGTTTTTCGAAAAACGTCGAAAAAACACAAGAATTAGTGGAAATGTTTCTATTTGGGGCGGATTATTGATAGAGGATAATGTCTTTATTACAAAAATGCTGAAAAACCGTGAGTTTTTGCCTTAGTTATTTTTTTATCGGCGAAAAACTGCGAACTCGACAAATTTGGTTGCACAACTTCCCTCTATCATATACACCCAGCGACACCGATGCCAGCTGACTGTGAACGGGAGCTAGCACTTTTGAGACATTGCTACTTTCTTTCCATCCCTCATCACAGCTATGGCATTACGGTCATGTGGATTATTTTTCTGGCGTTGAAGAAAAACACATTTTGCCGACCTCAAGTCCATTACGATAACCATAATGACGCATGCCGACGTTGGGGACTTGTTGCATCATTGTCTTGTGTGTGGGTGCGTGAATAAATCATGTTAATGAGGTCGACCAGAGTTTATTTTCAGTCTGTTTTTTATGTATCGCCATTTGGATATGTTTATGTATTCACAATAGTTTGTAAACATTTCACATCAGTAATAAAAGTTTTTTTTGTTTCATAACCCTGTCTGCTATTCTTCAGTAATTACGATGCGATGTATCAATACGTGCGTGAACAAAATTATGCTAATGAGGTCATCGCCTTCTTGGATTACAAGCGGTAGTTTTTCCCGGCCGTTTCGACTTGCACTGATCACGGTTACTAAAAATGTAACCGTGCATTGATTACAATATTTACCATAGTTTGTAGTCAATTTCAGTGAGTAATACAACTTCATTCGCTGACATAAAACAAGTTTTGTTCTTGAAATTCGACCCTGTGTCTTAGTGTTCCCACAGAGTGCTCACGTTTATTGAAACCTCGCATAAATCAAGAAATAAGTACGTGTACAAAGTGTACGAAAGCATTCCTTTATTTGACCTTATCATACGATCACAAAAACAACTTTTTAAAATCTTTTTGGGGTGGTCCTCGGGTAAGCGCCCACCCTCAATTTTTCCCGATATGTACGTTCAGGCCCCTGGGCGCGTGCCCGGGGTAATACGGTAGCTGTTACAGTGACAGTAAAACATACTATAACCAGTAAGTAAGTTAGCAAGATGGCTTTCAACTTGGTACTTGCATGCCATCTTGCTGACTGACTGTCCAAATAATTATCAGAATCAATGTAACAGGATAGTATATACACAGGTATCACATCGTGAGGCACATCATCCAACATTTTGTCATAACATGTTTAGAATGCTTTTACTAATAACAGCAACAACAATGGGAGCAGGCGAGGGCAGTATTTGAAAATTATTTTGATATTGTGTGCATCTGAATCTGAAACGGATCCATCTTGTGTAAAAAAAAAAATTCAGACATCACCACCAGAACTGTGTCACTTATTGCTGACTTTATCCCAGTTGATGATTTGTTTGATGATTTGTTATTATGTAATGCCAGGGTTTTTTGCAACTGATGTGAGATGTAATGAAAATCCACGAAATGCTGTATGTTTCTTTAAAGTACTCGTTTGAATCTTCAATAAAGTCACATGGCAGTCACATGACCACATGAAAGTTGTATCCAACATCATATCGACTTTTATTTTTTTATTTTTATTTTTTTAATATTTCTTTTTGTGCCAGGCGACAGTTCCGGACATTGAATGTCACTGTTGTCTATCCTGCCTTTTTTTTGTATGTGAAAATTGCAAGTGCTAGTGCTGACACATAATGCATTTTCATATCGACTTGTAATTAGTGTAAACAGAGGTAAATTACTGTAGAATACTTTATTTTCACTTGTAATTTATTTTCGCTATTTTCGCTGAAGGGATGATTCCGTGAAAATAAAATCCAGCGAATATACTTTTTTTCCTATATTTCACATTAAACTCATCAAAAATCAGTGAAAATAAATTCCAAGCAAAACGACCAAAAAGTCCTTTCAGCGAAAATTAATTCCTGCGAAAATAAAGTATTCCACAGTACTTGTAAATTATGAATTTTCGTGAAATATATTATAGTTTGATATGGTTTAAAACAATTCTGTGAAAATAATTAGTGTGAAATTTTACCTTCTCACAACCTCTACTACATCATTAGTACAACTAAAACTATCACAAAAAAATCAGCAAAAAAATATCGGTATTACCATCGAACTACATGATATTATTGTTTGTTTTCTATCATACAATGTATCTATTAGTGTCAAGGAAGGTAGCCATGGTATCTACCACATTATTTGTTTGAATTTATAACCCTACGTCATAGCATATGTTTCTGTGCATTAAATGGAAAAGTACACTGAATCACTGATAGAAGATTAAGTCATAAACTGTAACCATTTGTAATTGGTTAAATCTTGTTCATAATAATCTTGTCCCTATTTACAGTGACTAAACTACATGTAGTTAGAAAAAACAATGAGTATTAGCCACAACGACAAACAACTATTTCATCGCTACCAGAAGACCAATTATAGATTTGATTTGTTTGATTTGATGTGATGTTCATGATTTCTTGGCATTAATGCAAGTGATGGCCAAACTTGCAAAATCTGTTTTTATTTCACAGATGTAAAACATAGCAATTTTTAGAAGTTTTTATACATAATTTTGGAATCGATCCAGTGTGTGACAGGCTGATTAGTATAGTTTTTATATTGCAGAGTTTGGTGTATATCTTGCTGAGTTTACATTGGATCCACAGGGTGCCCTCGCCATCAGACAGGTAAAAAATAAAATATAATATTCAAATCATCTGATTTCAACAACAATTACTTCTATGTGCTCAGTGTTTACTGGTCTATGGTGCTGGTAACTAGAAAGACCCAACCAACCACCCGCCTCACGCTGGTTAAAGTGAACACTAATATTAATACTAACCCTCCCTAATGTATGTACATAAATATGTAGTGTTTGATGTTTATAGTTTGCTTGAATGTAGCAATTGTCCTAAAATGCCGAAAACTCATTCATAACCGAATCCACCAAACTGCTCAGTTCGTAAACTTCAAATATGGATATCTTGCAAATTCCCATAACTGTTGCATATATTGTATTTCGCATATTACTTAAAATGAATATTAAAATTCAGTTATGCGGCGCCCTTTGTGTTAGTGGAAGCCCAGTGTTAGATCACCATTGTAGTCGCATACTGGTTTAGGTCAAAGGTGACAATGCTCAATGTTTTTTGCATGTGTTCAATCATTTGTAGCTGGCATCGGTTATATTAAAGCAGTATGTGGAAGCTCACTGGTCACAACATTCTGATAAGTTCAGACCTCCAGAGACCTCTGACACGGTGAGTATAAACAGTATTAATGATGTTTTCTTTTAAGATTGTTGAAATTCTTTTAAAACACTGTAGTGGGAAAAAATGATTACAGGAAAAAGAAAACATGTTAATAACATTTGCATCAATCTATACGAATAATTTTATATTTTCTTATGGCTAAAAAAAAAAGTTATATATGATTTGACATTTTTGTTCTTATATCATCTGTTACAATAGAGTAGAAAAAATAAAAAATTGGTGTATAGATTTATTTTCATATCTGTAATCTCATAGTATGACATTGAATTGGGCAAGATTTTTCTTATGGCTAAGAAAAAAAGTTATATACGATTTGACATTTTTGTTCTTATATCATCTGTTACAATAGAGTAGAAAAAATAAAAAATTGGTGTATAGATTTATTTTCATATCTGTAATCTCATAGTATGACATTGAATTGGGCAAGATTTTTCTTATGGCTAAGAAAAAAAGTTATA